CAATTGCTTAAATTGGAAAATTTACTGCGATGATCATGCTTCACTTTCATCTTTCGATTCTATTGTTTATCAAGTTGTACGAAAAATAGACCGGAAATAAACATCTTCTGTGGCAAGCGTTGATGAGATAGAAAAAAGTTCTCTTGTTTTGTGTGTGTTGATTCGGGCGCAAGACATGTTCATTTCAGGGGGGTGGAGGGGGTGGTCACAAGGCAACCTTTAGTTCACCTCGTCTCGCTACGGCATAAACTTAGTGGGAGACAAGTTACTGGAAGCATTGCCCATTATCTCGTCACTGGCAATCTTGATAAATCAAGATCAATGTCAGTTTTTTTTTTTTCTCCAGCTTCTCAGCGGTCTGGAATCCTACATTCTTGAATATGATTGGCTAATTGCGCGCGCTCCAGCAGTCCAGATATTCCCATCCGGAGCCCGAATACGGACCGCTCCGAAATTTCCAATGTGGCAACTTTTCAAGGTTTTTTTTTACACTGTTAAACAACGTAAAATGTAAACATTCAACAGAGTGAAACAATTATGCAAACAGTATCGCTTTTTGTGCCCGAAATGTCAAACCCTTGCGTACGCCAGATTTGAACTGAACGGTTTTAATTAAAATTCGACACAAAAGTTTCCTGCAAAGCAAACCTCGATCTTGAGTACGGTCCTCGGGTCGTACTCAGGACCTCGAGCATAGTTTTTCGCAGTACGGACTTCCTGGGCGGCAAATCACATATATGCACTAACGCCATCGTATTTTGTATTTTAGGAAAATTATGGAGTGAAGAGTCCTACATCGTCAGAGAAAGTCAAAGTATTATATCACGAACTAAACCTAAAGAAACTTTATGAAGAATACGAAGAAGAAAGTTACACAAGAATTCTTGAACTCATATCGCAGAAATCTGCGAATCTGCCGAAAGAAATGTTCCTAGAATTTGTAAAGAAGATCTATAAGCGAGATAAATGAAAAGATAGGGTCCAATTCTAAGAATTATTAAGATGCTAAAGCACATTGTGTCAAAAGTGGTGTTCTTTGGCTAGTGCGAAACAAGGAATATTGAATATTTTATGTGAAAAAATACTTATCGCAGTTTTATTAAGAGTCGAACACTGGGTGAAATTACATGTTTGAATTCTTTTGTAATGAGATCACTCAGATCATGGTGCATCAAAGGAATCGACGAATCGTTGCCCAGGAATCTTTGATACACCATGACCGAAGTTATCTTAGATCATTAATCCTGATCTGGATCAACCTAAAGGAACACAGCTTTATTCAGTGCATATATCAGCTTTTAGTATAAATCTACTAGCGATCTATCACGAATGCCGTTCTCTGATTGGCTACGCTACTCACTATCTATTCTGTGATAGATAATCTTAATTATTGTAAGGAGATAATCTAGAAGGGGATAACCACTTTTATCTCCTTTTCACTTTTTCTTTGAAATTGTGAATAAACAGTTAGAATAATTAAGAGTTACTAATTTTTTTTTGCCTAATTTTTTGTGAACAGTGAAGATATGTAGTTTTAATATTTTACAATGCAAGTCCTTACCAATGCAGGATAATCAATAGCATCTGTATTAAATTAGTGGCCACTTCAACCACGCCACCCTATTTCAACAATTTTTCGTATTTTTCTTTTAAAGAAATAAAACTACCACAGATCAATTTATCATGCCGAATGTGATCATTGTGGTGTAGTAAATATGCGGCGAGTTTTCACAAGGATCTCTTACAAACTTATGGAAATACAAGACCCTAAACTTGTCAATTTTTGCCCAAAAATGATTGCCAGGGTAAGTTTGGAATTCTACATTACCATGAGTTGTTATGTACTTACTAAATTCGGTAAGATCAATAGAGCGGTAAGGATTATTATTTTTTTTTTTATTTGAATGAGAAAACTAAAAAAAGAGTGACATTAATGGTTTTTCTTTTAATTACCTCGGATATGCTCAAACTTGTCAACTGGTGTAATACGAAACGCTTCAAACAGCGGTTATATCTGATTGAAGCTACCAAAAGTCATTCTGCTTCTTATAGAGCGCAGACCGAATAGAAGGCTACTCCCGAAAAAATATTCAAAAGGTGCAAGATATACTACAACGGGCTGATGCTTGGTTCTTGCGAAGAATTGAAAAACGCTCCTGTCTTGTCTATCAAGTGGGTAAACCTTTGTCTTCGCTTAATTTCGAAACTTTTGTAACATGGGAAACAGTACGAACAATACAACCTCGAATAGTACATCTTGTTTGTCGACAGATGTTTTTACCAAAGCAGAGGCCATCGCTTGGTGCAGCGCTTTTTCACTAGTATCTGTGCTTATCGTCACAGGAAACCTGCTCACCCTTGCTCTGTTTGCCATCTACAAGAAAGTTAGAAAAAACTTCTTCTTTCTAGTAATTAATATGACATGTGCTGATCTGTTGATAGGGGCTGTTTCACTGCCTATTTACATTTACAAGCCGAGGACTACGATTTTCGACGCCATTTTTTCTGTTGTCTGCTTGCAGGCCTCTACAACTTTTGCTGCCTTGATTTCTTGCGAAAGACTCTACGCCACATGTTCGCCGCTTAAATACCGAACACTGTCAGGGCGAGCATACGTCGTTGTAATTACTTTGGCGTGGACTGTAGTACTTTTGAGCTCTGCCATACTTTCCGTGTTTAGGGTTTTTGTTTCCAAGGTGGCTTATTTTTCGTTTTGGGTGACATACACCTTTGCTCTCACATTCATCATTTGCGCTTGTACTTTTGGCATTTGGAAAACATTTCAATTACACCGGCGTATGTCTTCAATACGACGAAACAGAGCTTTACAGAGCCGACGCTTGACAAAGACCTTGATGCTTATATCTCTTCTTACTTTGCTGTCGTGGATCCCTTTAATTGTTATGAACACATTAGAGGCTCTCGGCGTCTCAGCGAACAAAAACCTTTATTACCTGACAGTTCTTTTAAATGTGTCCAATTGTTTTATAAATCCTGTGGTCTATGCATTACGAATTTCTGAGTTCAGAAAAGCCCTTAGTTTTCTCTGGTGTGGAAGAAACTCGGAGATCAGGAACAAGAATGCTAATGGCGGAAAAAGTAACAGGGCTTCTGTTTTGGCCCCAGCGACACAGCTGAAATCAACAACAACTGATCTTGAGG